AAAAAAAAAAAAAAAAAAAAAAAAAAAGAAAAAAGAAAAAAAAGAAGAGAATTGGGAGTAGCGCGAATTGCACGCACAGCGGAATCCATTCGATATCGGTTGTCGAAATTTCGATACGAACGAGAATTCGATATCGTTTGTCCGATTAAATTAAATAATAATAAAATTAAGGATGTTTGAAAAAGCGTGCGACGAAACGGTGGATGACTTCGATCGAGAGAGAGGATGATTGATAAATAAATAGACGAACGAGTTGGTAACACGATTGACTTTTATTACATTTTTTTTTTTTTCATTTTTTTTAGAACTAAATAACATAAACGCATATTTCTGGTTAATTCACTTTTTGTTTATTACTCGTAATATTACTATTGTATTAAGAGCTATAACGATGAGGCGCGCCCCTAAAAATCATTTTCATGCTTTATCATTTTTTTTTCTTTTTTTCATTTTTATTTCTCTCTTTTTTTGTTAAACCTCATTTTCCTTTTTTTTTATTTTTTTCTCTCGCATTTTGTGTTGTTCATCTCTCCCGCCGTGAAAGCTAAAAGAAACGCCGTGAATTTCTCGTACAACGTAGGAAGAGGAAAGCTCGATTATCCTTCTCTTTTTCTTTTCTTTTCTTTTCTTTCTGTTTTGAGAATCTGTTTTTATCCCCGCTTCGTTATCGTTTTCGTTCAAGCTTTTTTTCGCAGATTTCTGATTTCGGTAACTTTGTCGCCTCCTCCTTGATGCTTGAAATTTTTTCCGTGTTCGGTGTTTTTTCTTTTTTTTATTTATTTAGTTGAAGGAAAGATGGACAAGAAACGCGATCTGGAGGAAGAAACTCCGACACGCGTTTCCTGTTTCCTTCCCTGGCTCTCTTTCTTTTCTTTTTTTTTCTTTTTTCCATCGTTTCAAGGGTCAAGAGGAGAGTCGAAGTAGAGAAAGTAGGACTCTATGCATTTTTTACGCGTAACCAAGAGCCGAGATCGTGCTCAGGGGGATGGGTTTGACGGGGGATGTTCACGGGGGTACAACTACGAAATCTTATCTGTCTCTTATTTCGTGTTTCGTGTTTCTCGTGTGAGAATGGTGGTTTCGTGATCTTGGTGTATTCGCTCCTCCATTAACCTTTTATTTGGCACGACTATTTTAATTTGGCCGTTTCTTTCGAATTTTTTGTATACACATATCGATCGAAAATCGGAAATAATCTCGATTACCAATTTTAAGATATCGATTACTTTTTGCTCGAAATTTTGAAATAAAAAAAAAAAAGTTATTCGAAAAAATAAGTTTTCTTTGGTTCGATTCGCTAAATAAAGGGTTAACTTTTTCACGCGCATGCACGTATTTCACGTGTGTCCGTGTCCATGTGTAGGTGGTGTGAATAAGTGGTCGCTTATTATCTAGGTTACTTTATTTTTATATCAGTGTTTATGTGTATATATATATATATTATACATAATCTAACAACAATATATAATATTATCATCATCATCATCATCATCATCATCATCATCATCATCATCATCATCATCATCGATCCATTCGGCGTTACTTGTTTTCCTCTTTGAAAGTTACGTAATAATATACTCAAACGATCAATTCTCCATTCCAACGATTCACTCACTACTCACACTATTACAAGAGATCTTTTACTATTCCCCTCTCTGTTGACGTACAAACTCATTACCACCCCTTTTTAATTAAGAATTTTTTCCCCTTTTGTATCTGCCGAGCAAGGTTCGTGCGATTTTTAGGCATTCGAAAGACCCCGTATGCCCTTCTCTCATCTTCTCTCCCCTAATTTATTTTTACTTCTTTTCGACGTTTTCTTTTTTTTTTTTTTTTTTTTTGGTTTTTTTTCTTTTTTTTTTTTTTTTTTTTTTTTTGGTATTTTGTCTTTTTTTTTTCTTTTTTTACATCGTTTCTCCTATCACTTCCGTGCAAATCTTTATACACGATTAACGATTACAATAAAATTTATTGGTCGTTGCATGCAGCTAAAAATGCTTCGCATCTTCGAAATATAAAATTACACAGAGATCGATGTGAACGTACGGGTTGCAATCACGTAACTTCGAGTTTTGTTTCGAAGTTACGCGGTGGTATCGTCTTTTTATCTATTTTTTTTTTCATCTTTTATCTTTTTCTTTTATTTCTCCTTTATCGTTACATTTATTACTTTCGCGCGATCCTCGATCGAAGAAGAAACATCGATCAGGACAAAACATCGACGCTTCGTTCACGACTCGTATCACGCGCGTATATGAGTATTTCTGTGTATGTATGTATATATGTATGTGTATGTCTGATCACCCTTGGANCACAGGTGTGATCTGCATTATTATTATTATTATAATTATAATTATTATTATTATTATTATTACTATTATTATTATTATTATTATTATTATTATTATTATTACGTCGTTATAACACGGTGAAACACGATTCTCACACGATTCGACGGAAACGGAACGGAAATCGGCAGAGTGTCGACGACGCATGGACGATGGGCGATGCGCGATTCCTCCATGCGTGTGTAATATAAATTTCACGGTTTCCCGGAAACGAATGTGTCGATTCACATTTTTAATTCCATTTACCAAAGAAAGAAATTCTGTGAAAGGAAAGGAACGGACGAGGA